GAATAGAATTAACATTGTATAATTTAGAGATAGCTTGTTATAAAATAGAACTAACTTGTATAAATTAGAACTAACTTGGCATAAATTAGAACTAACGTGGCATAAAATTAGAACTAACATGGTATAAAATTAGAACTAACTTGTTATAAAATAGAACTAACTTTGTATAAATTAGAACTAATGTGGTTAGTTCTAATTTTTACCAGCTCGTGTTAGTTTTAATTTATTTAATGTGTTAGTTCTAGTGTTAGTTCTAACAGATATCGTGTTAGTTGTAATTTATTTAAGTCATTAGTTCTACGTAATTGTTGGGTCTAAACGCCATGTTAGTTCTATTTAATGATGTGTTAGTTCTAGCTTCTCTAGTGTTAGTTCTAACTGGTATCGTGTTAGTTCTAATTTATTTAAGTCGTTAGTTCCAGCGTAATTGTTAGGTCTAAATGTCATATTACTTCTACTTGATGATGTGTTAGTTCTAGCTTCTCCAGTATCAATTCTAACAGGTATCGTGTCAGTCCTAACAGGAGCTCAATTAGAACTAATATAGCCACTAGAACTAACGCTTATATTAGAACCAACACTAGCTGGAAGTAGAACTAACATTAAATAAGTCAGAACTAAATTAGAACTAACATAGAACAACATAAAATAAGTTAGAACAAACATTAAATAACTTAGAACTAACATTAGAACTAACATGAATTAGAACTAAATTAGAACTAACATAAAATAAGTTAGAACTAACATTAAATAACTTAGAACTAACATTAAATAACTTAGAACTAACATGAGTTATTGCTCATGATAGAGTTCAAAAAAGGGCGGGAAATTTCCCTCTATTTTTTCCATCAGATTGCATTAATGGGCGTGACTTTCCATGTAGTTTGGGGACCAGACGTCTAGGGAAGATAAGTGGAAGGGTAATTTCGGGTTTTTTTTCAAAATACAATCTCTTTTTTTATACTGCTGACGTGGAGGGGCCTTAAAATATTAAATGGTACTTTTTGGGGCTGAATCACATGGGGCAAAATACAAGGGGGCGGGTCACATGAACATTCTGCTTTTGGGGCCTGGACACATTTTTCCCTTTATCCTTTTCTAGAATCGGTAAATCAAATTTTGAATTGTAGTAAATAAAAGGGAAGTAAAAAAAACACTATCACATTTACCCGTTAAATATTTGATTGTTGGATCATGAATTTATCACATCGAACAAATACAAACAGTGTAAAGGGATAATAAGTGAATTTATATTTTAGAGATGAAGTTGAGTATTAGACAATATTTTAAGAGGGGGTTAGTCATTTTCTCTTGCTTTGAAGCACTATATTAGAACTGGGGATCTAATAGAAATTTCAGTTATTAGAGGAATACCCGTGTCGATGATTTTTGTTAATGTTAAAGACTCGAGGGACTAATAGCAGAAAACCCCTAGATTCTAGGGGGGAGTCGAGATATCTCACGGGGCCGGAGGCACGGGTGAAGGGTGAGATCTCGTGAGCTGGGATTAGACGTCCAATAAAGAGCCGTGGGACTTGGGGCCTGTGATCTAGGGAATTGACTGTGGGACCCTCTGTCAGTGTAGTGGGTTTTCCAGGGTATTTTGTACTTTTGGTAAGAGCTCTGCTAAGGGACTGTTTGGTTGGTACCTAAAATTAAAGAAAAGTAAATAACACCCGGAAATTATTAAAAGTTAATTTTTATCTAATTTTATCTTAAAAAAATTACATACGCATCTAATAATATGGTGACAACTCATCTAATCACATCTTTTTCTTTCTTACTTACTTTTAAGAATAAACCAAACACAAAAAATGAGTCATATTATCCATCTCATCTCATCTCTTCTTTAAAAATGAGTCACATCATCCTAAGTTTTTTTAATAGCACTTATATACCCTTAAGTTTTTAAAACTTACAAGTACATATTCTCGCTTTTTTTAGTGGAATATCCTCACTTGTTTCAGCAGCACTTATAACTCTGAAGTTTTTAAAACATGTGCTTAAAATATCTTAGAGTTTTAAATGCTGTAAAATTTTTAAAATTTGCACATCAATACTCTTTATTATGCATACTTGAGGATATTTAAAAGTTTAGGTTATATAAGTGCTTCAAAAAAAGTGAAAGTATGCGAGTGCAAGTTTAAAAAACTTTGAGCTATATAAGTGTTAGTCAAAAATTAGTGAGGGTATATAAGTACAACACAAGGGAAACTATAGGGTATTAAAGTGCCACGAAGCCATTTAGTTATTACAAATATCTGCTGGACCTAAAGGTTAGAGCTAAGAAAAAAAGAAGGAAAGAATTAGGATTTTCTTCATAGATGGATTTCTTCAAGATCGAATGACAAATGAGAGGGTTAAACTAAATTGGTTAAACTAAATTTATCCAAACTCAATTATAATTTAGGTCAGAAGTGGATTGTTCATTATTGCTCTCCTGCTGTCATTTCCCAAGGAGGGTACAAAACTAATTTATGTGCAGCATATTGTGCCTTTTACTTACACAAGTGATTATGTGAAGCTTTGATTGGAATTCCTTTTGCTTTCCAAAATGGATTTCAATCATAATCACCTAATACCGATGAGAGATTGGTGGATATATTCACTTTATTTTGTATTTTTAAAATTTTCTTTTCCCTAAGAAGGCGTACCAAAAGTTTGGTGTCCATAATCTAAAATAATTAATAGCCTCTATGAAAGTAACCACAAGTTAACCGTATCATAGGATGGAATGAAAGCATAGGCTGATATATATAAAAAATATAAAATATATATCGAGGAGAGTAAAACATACAAAAACAACAAAGATTTCCACTTAATACAAGGAAAAATTTTATAGGACAATAATAAAACCAACAATGCTTCGTAGATTGGAATATTGGACAATTACAAAAAGATATGTAAAAAAAATGAGTATAGTAGAAATGAGAATGTTGTAATGGTCTTGTAGGTATACACTAAAAGATAATATAGAAAATAAGTACATCCATAGTAAAATATAGGTTTCTCCTATTTAGGATAAGCTGAAAGAGAATAGATTAAGGTAGTTTTGATTATATACAAAGGAGTCCTCTTAGTATATCAGTTAGAAAAAAATGATAAAATTATAGTTAATGGAGTAAAGAGATCTAGAGGCAGACCTAAAAAAACTTGGTAGAAACAATTAAGAATGATATGATTATGATTCACTTAGCAATAGAGGTGACCCGTATTAGAACAAAATAGGATAATATAATTCATGTAGTCAATCCCATATATGTGGAATAAAAGACTTTGTTGTTGTTATTGTTATTTAAAAAACATGGGATTGACAAAAGGACAGTCTTATTATCGTCACCATTGATAACCGAATTGTGAAATTGCAAATATTTCATTGCGGTGAATAAAGTATTTTTGGGAGGAGAGTGGATATATTGCAATCATTGGTACAAGCAACTTCTGATGGTTCATGAAACATAATTTTATTATTTTATGGTACCAAAGCGAACAAGCTCTTGATTTTGTAAAGCAAGTTTCTTTCATTTGACGATAAAATCTTGAGAAGGTGTAGGATAATGTACATCACTTTTCCTTTCCGAAATGATCTCAATCATGATTATTCATAATTACCTAAACTGCTTCTTCTTTGTTCTTTTAACTTCTTTCATGGCTTTTTCTTACCGCTTCCTCTTTGCTAGGGGAATGCACCAAATTTGCACTCCTAGTCTCCTATAGGGAAAAAAGGGTTTTTTTTTAATAATATTAGCCACCCACATCTTTCGCATTTTGATATTAGTCCCCCAGATCTTATAAATTGTCTTGAAATTAGTCTCTTTAGTTAGAAACAAGTTGAAAAGATTTGGGGGACTAATTTAAAAACACTTAAAAGGTTTTGGCAGACTAATTTCAAAATGTGAAGATGAAGAGTTGGGAGAACTAACATCAAAATACTTAAAGATTTGGGGGACCAATATCAAAATAAAGTCGACGTGGGGGCTAATATGAAAAAAAAACTCAATAAAAATACAAGTAAACAAGACAAAATCCTGAAATCGTTGGTGATCGCAGGACAGTGAATTTTTTCCGAACCAACAGTAATGTTTTCAATACAATATAATGGTAATTATGGCTGAACCCTGTTCAGTTCAAATGAGAGTATCACAGTAGAAGTGCCAAACTACAAACGGAGATATAATCTTGGAATATCATAAACCTTGCATCAGTCCAATAATGATCTGTCCGTACAAAATGTGTCTGATATATCTCCTAGATGTTAAAGCGTTTGTTCGTAAAAGATACATAAATTAAGTGATATACGTAACAAACAATTTAAAATCAGAATTGCAAGATGTACCTACTTATTATGCAACCAAAGAAAAACAATTGATGCGTGATATTTCCAACTTCCATCTCTCGTCTTTATAATAAATACCCCTTACTGCCAATTTGATGAGATATAACAAGGAAAAAAAAACAAAAAACAAAAAAAAAAATCCTATAGAGCACCCGCGGTAAGTCATATATACAGGAAGGAGATTACAACACATATCTTTCTATTGATTCTAAAGTAGTACAATTAGTATATAACTATAACGCTTGATTCTAAATTAGTACAATTTAGTATATAGCTATAACTGCAGTCAACATTGTATCCCCCAATCACCAATATGATCAAACTATTGTCAATCAACATACATGATAATGTACCTAATATATCAGTGTCAATCAACATGCATGATAAGATATACGTACAAGCTACAGGAACAGCAAATGTTAACAACATTGTAAATGTCCACATTGCAGTTGATATAGCAACAACAATGAGAAGTCCTAACCAAAAATACAACACAGTACCTTTAAAAGTATCGAAACCCTCATCTCAGACTGCATATTCTACGAAATTCTGCAAGAAGCAAACCCAAGGAATGAAATATCGCGCTAATTAGACTTTGATGCCGCGATATATGTTTACGATCAATATGTCCAACATGTCCACATTTACGTTTTGGCGTAAGTAATTGACAGCAATCACGGATATCCACAATTTAAGAAACGATGTACGCTTGTTCAATGAATGTTGAGCATATTCTGTAAAACAAATTAACTAAAAGTCGGCTAACGCAAGTTTGCCCACCTGTAAACAGCTTCGAACGAAAGATTATTAATGCAAGGGGATCTTACAAAAGCAAGCACCTTGCGATTCGTAACGCATATAGTACAAACTTCATACCCATATCACAACGGGATCCTTTTCTATCTTATTTCTATGCCCATGAAAATGAGCACTTAAGAGGAGAAGCCCAAAATCTTTCCCGACAGAAAAACCTGAAATCTCTCCAGAACAAGAAAAGTAAGCCGTTTTAAACTAACTCTTAAGAGCACTGTGAACCTGAGAATGAAGTCGAAAGATGCTTCAAACTGGAGACATCGAAACGCTCCATGAACCTTTGATCGGAAACCCTAGCCTTTGCAGCAGCAAAACGCTGGTATTCATCGAATACTGAAGAAAGACACCACTTCTGTAATTTTCTTAAACATCCAACCAAACAACCGGTTCGATGCTGATGAAATTTCATATTCTTGGGTCAGTACTAAATTTAAAGTTTAATTTATGTGAGACATTAAGAGACAATATACAATGTCCCAGTCCATTGCAATAGTGTTAAACCAACGAGATGTCAATTGATTGATTAATAAACTTAAATGATTTGTGCATTGACCCAGAGGTTGACATTTCTATAGTGCACCATTAATGCAATAGACCAGGACTACTGAATTCGTTCTTTGAGCTTTAAAGATTTACCTTTCCTCTTTTGCAGTGAATAAGCAGAGGGTGGTTACGAACATCTGCATCAGAAACAAGTTCTTAGATCTAGGATACTATGCAGGGAACCGTGTTAATTCTAACTATTAAGGAAATAACAAATTGAGCTTATGTATAAATAATAATACCAAGGACAACTTTAAGAGCCTCGCGAATTGTATCTTCTGGGATGTTGACAAAAGGTTCCTGCAAGGATGTTGGCTTTCAGTTAACTGGCAAATGGAAAATGAGAAATAGAATTGAGCATACACCAAAATATAATGTTAAGAAACTGTAACCTTGACCTAAATTTACGAATAATAAGCAAAGCCTAACTCCACATGTAGAACTAGCATTGCGATATAACCTATGAGAGAAAATACTCAATGTAGTAACTATGCCAATTTAAGTGACATGGAGGCCCAAAACATTTAGATACCGCTGCAAGTCTCCCTGAGATTCTGAATAAGAGTTCATCTGATGCAGCAACACCAGGGTGTTTGAGAAATGTTGCCATTATAAATCTTTCAGCTTTTGGGCTAATAGTATAACATTTTTTCAATGATCAAGTACAACAACAAAATTTTGAATGGCTAGATAATAAACCTTAAGAAACCGCAGCTTCTCATACCATAAAGCTACTGAAACAGTAAGTAATTCTTTTCTCAATCAATAGAAGACTAACGGAATCGTCTTATTTTGGCTGTGATTTCTATGCTGAACATAATCTCTGCAAGTTGACATTGTTTACCTATAACTATTACATAACTCTCTGAACAGTGAAGAATATTTAACCCTATAGCTAAAGTACACCAAAAGGTTAAAGGAAAGATGATGCCAATCAAAATGGCATCTAAAAGCAATATATCTGAGAACAAGAATTTGGATGGTTTCAGCCCCTTTTCCAGCAAATCCTCAATTAGCCACTAGTTGTATAATAAACAGAACCAAAATTGACTAATGAAAGACAAGCAATTTATGGACGGCTTTGTGATAAAATGGGCCCCAGAATCCAGTTGCTGTGTCGCAATCGTCTGTTGACAATATCCACGGCAATTCAATGCACCAACCGGCTTTAATAGAAGGGCAGACATGCCATTATCATCATTAATTCAGCATGAAACATATTCACATATCACATTTACTGTCTAATATATTTTGGATTAAGCAGCCTAAATCCCCAAATTGTTTAATGGCGATCAGAATTTTATGATAGAACATTGTGATCAACTTGCCAGAATTTGTGACATCTCGCAACTTTTTTATGGGCAATCAAATTAAGCCTACTGCCTACAAACTAACCGAAATAAGAAAAAGAAACAAAAATAGAAAAGCGGGTGAATGATTAGAGGCCTTATTATCCATCACCTAGATGGAACAAATCCTACCAATACTAGAATTATTTATGGGGATCAACATTTTGGCCTAATATCGGACATTTTTCCCATTGGAATAATAACTTTTAAGGGGCGTCCTTACTTCTGGATCCTGCTTCAGAATTATGAATTAACTACGATTTTCTGCAGAATGAAAAATTGTCTCAAACGAAAGCAAAGCCCACAAACAACAAACTTCCTACAGACATGCAAGGACAAAAAGCTTTACAAACATCCAGAAATTGAAGGTGCATGCCATATTCATCATAGGTTCAAAGGGAAAAAAATGGTGCAAATAAATTGCAATTTAACTCCGAAACCAACTCTCAAATCCTTATCGCTCCATATAAATATCAACTCCAATAAGCATAACTAAAAATAAAGAAGCTTAATCTAATCTTCCCAAATCAAACAATTAAAAAACAACCTTATTCCTAGAATTCCAAATAAAGGATATTAAACCTAACCAAACTAATCCCAAGAAGGTCCAAATCAACCAAGTAACCAAAGTTCAAATGCTAGCTAAGGGTTCAGATATTTCCTCCTTATTTTTGGGACACTATAAACGTTGTGGCTGATTTAATCACTACGTGTTGCCTTAAGTTGCACTAGGAAGACAACAACAAACTGATTCTCTATACAGAGCTTTTTCAACCCTCTCGTTTAATGCTGTGTGCATTCAAAGCTTGCATTCTTACAAAAAGTTCTCAAATTTCATTCAACACTAGATAACTTCACAATATGTTGCAAATGCAGCATATCAACAGTTTATATACATACCATTCAATCACTCCACTTTAACATACATTCCATACTCTGTCCATGTTTCCGTCTTATGTTTAATCTCGAAAAGAACCAATATAGTTCATCCAACCAATATATTTCCACCACCTTCAGTTTACGTATCAAATTCAACTTTTCAAATAATATGTGCACCAGCCCATTAAGTACCACATTCAAATAATTATTCCAATGTCTATGTTACATATCAAAAGCCATTTATTTGATACTAAAACAGAAACTGGAATACTTGGAGGTTCATATCAACATCTCTCAAATGACGGCCACGAGTAGTGGATGAATCTCAAAGGAGGCACTCTAAGTTGTAGCATGTTGTTAAGTCTAAAATTGATGACTAGTTGATGAATGCTCCTTGCAATTTACTAATTGACATAACCTATCCAACCATGTGACGAAACAATATAAGTGTGTTCCACTGTGTTATGCTGTCGCAAAAATGTAGAGATAGAATGCAATTTCCTTGAAAATTCCACCACTTTGCACTCCAGCAGGGTTCTTTCCAAATCCGGGTTAGATTAAGGATTTTTTTCCCAAAATTCTATGAGATGCTGATCCACTGCTACTAGTACTAAACATAAGAATCTTTTTTCCCCTTGAATCCATTTTTTCCCTTTAAGTTCTCCTTAAATCCATAAGAATCATTGGTCTCAAGTCTGGAATAGAAAAGACAAAATTAAACAGAAAAATTGTTAATCGCCAGACTGGAATTCAGTGTAATCCTATTTTGCGTCCATTGGATTTAAGCCGTGACATGCTCTACATGTCACCTCACTTGGTTGTCCGGTCATGTATGTATTAATATCTATTTGTAAACATATAATAGCTGAAAGCCATCTTTTTTTTAATTCATTGTATTCTATCCTCATTTGTTCCCTTGTCTACATTGATATCACAAACATGTGCTTGCTTTTCTACATTAGACCTTCTTTATGATTCTTAGCTACAATAAGGATAATTTAAATCGTAAGTTCATATGTATGTTTTCACAATTCCCGTAGACATATTTTTTACTTAAAGACTATTAAATCCTAATCCTATGTATGAGATCATAGCGAATTCGCAAATGCTAGTCACAGCATAGTAAATGTAACTAGGAGAACATCGAGAAACAAAAAAAGATCGAGGTAACTAGTGAGCTTCAATGAGATTCAGCGATAAAAGATACATAAAGTTAAAAAGTTTTAGGTCTCATTTAAAATGATTCATTAGAAATTCGAAATTCACAACTGCCATAAACAACATTATTCTCTATAAAGAAAACAATGATATATAAAACATTCATGTGTTCGCTTACCTTGAGCAATAAAAGTAAGAGACATGCATGATCCAACAACATTCCATTGAATTCGAGGACTAGCATTAACAAAAGCAAGCCAAAATCTAACCCAAAAACAGAACAATTCCACATAAAAACACACCCATAGGATTAAAAACGAATAACGATTACCTTGCACCCGTCAATCCCAAACTGAAACAGCCTAATCCCATTTGCCCTCAAGAACTCGTTATTCGCCTCCGGGTACGGCTCCGGGCAAAGGCACCTACAATCAAAAACCCACAATAAAAACTCAATCAAAATCTCAACTTTTTTAATCCTACAACAAAAGAAATCACCAAAAACACCCACAAAATCGAGCGCAGCCTCAAGCTCTGCAAGAAACTGAAGTTAGCAGTGTCAGGGAACCCCGAGCGAAAAATCCCATTATCAACCATCGCAAAATTCAATGGAGGTACGAAGAGCTCCTCCCCATCTCTAGAGGTGGCGGTAAGCTCACCGCCGAGAGAAGGGTAACAAGATTTATCAATGACCACATCGTCGTCGTCGTCATCACTCTCGATCTCGCGCCTTTTCTCATTACCCATGTCGAGTTTCATCGTATATCCTCGAAATTCTGAGGATTTTAGAATCCACAGAGAGAGAGAGAGAGGGGTAATTAAAGGGAACAGGGGTTAACTCGAGAGAGAGAATAATGAATCAACATTCTGGGAATATTCGGTTGCCTATTTTTGGAGCTATTTGTTTATTAAAGGAAAGCGGTTGCGTCTCTCTGTCGTCTTTTGGTTTCGTTTTGGCGTTTAAACAAACAGCTCGTGTGCGTTCAAAAGAACCGACCCTTCGCTAATTGGGCGACTGAGTAATGGGATTAGAGTTAATTGTAGTTTAAATAAAGTATCAGAGAGAGATGGAGAAATTTGGGTTCTACTTACATTTTTTGAACACTGGTTGATTGAACGTGGACTTCTTTAGCCATGCGCCACTAGTCTCCTATTAAGTTTATTATCATGAGCGTTGCTACAGGGACATAAAATATGATATATATCCCTTCTATTGCATAATGAGCTGGCATGATCAACTCATTATGCAATAGGGAGTGGACAGCTCACGTGTCCTCTTATTTGATCCCATATTTTGGGTCCTTAAGATATTTTTCTATTATCATTGTCATGTAAATAAAAATATCTTTTTGGAGTTGAATGTAATTCGAGATTTGTTACAGATAGACAACTCTATCCCTTATTTTCTCACCGTCTGCTCTTAGCTAATTAGGTGAAAAATAATGAGGTTAGAGTTAATGGTACTTTTGTTTTTTAGGATAAAAGTATTTGAGAAGAGATAATTGCTGTTGAGTCAAAATTCCTAGGTTTGAAAGTTGAAGAATCTGATGTTTCCTTCGGGACGGGTGGGGTGATAATAAACAAAGAAATCCGGTTGCTTCTTGGAAGAAGATTTCTCTAGAAAGTGCAGAATGTGGATACGTGAGGTTGAATTTCGTTGCTTTTATGCTTAGACCGGTACAGCTAGAGAAGCACATATATTTCTTCAATTAAAAAATAGATTATTTAGTAATTTTAAATTATTTTGGTTAAATAGTAATTTATAAAAATCATGAAATCGGGATATATATATATATATTATATATATATATATATATATATAATATATATAATATATATATATATATATATATATATATATATATATAATATATATAATATATATATGAAATTCTTAGGTCAACTTAAGTGAACCATCCACCTACTTTCTTATTTATTGATGTTGCCTAGTGATCCATGTTGTCTAGTGAACCATCCACCTACTTTCTTATTCATTGATTCCTAGTTATCATCAATGGATAGAAAATTTAGTGGATGGTCCACTTAAGTTGACATAAAAATCTCTCACTCTCTCTCTCTCTCTCTCTCTCTCTCCTCGTGAGCTGCCAGGTGTATGACATGTGAGCCCCCACACCGAGGTGACTAATAGGGGCCCCACATGTCATGGACCTATCAGCTCACGGGGAGAAGAAGCTCTTCTCCATTTTTCTGTATATATATATATATAATATATATATATAATAACACCGTTTGTAATCGAATTCAAAACCGTGGGAGCCATATTAGAGCATCCTTACTGTCTAAATTACCCACAAGGAGTGAAAGGGATATAGTTAAATGCTATATATATATATATATATATATATATATATATATATATATATATATATATATATAAATATAATATATATATATATATATATATATATATATATATATATATATATATATATATAATAACACCGTTTGTAATCGAATTCAAAACTGTGGGAGCCATATTAGAGCATCCTTACTGTCTAAATTAACCCAGCAAGGAGTGAAAGGGTATATAGTTAAATGCTAAGTTTCGAACTCAAATTAGAGATTACTGATTAATATAAATCAGAGATTACTAAACTGGAATAGGTAAATAATTTACTTAATATGTGCTATAAAAAAATCATTCCTTTGGTTAGATAGCAGGTTCCTAATATGTTTCATAATTTGTTTTAGTAACATGTTATTGAGATTCCTAATCTGTTTTGGTAACAGGATTTCTAATCTGTTTTGATAACATGTTATTAGGATTTTTAATCTATTTTGTTTTTGATTTTAGAATTCCTAATATGTTTTTGGTTTTAGGATTTCTATATATATGGAACGGTTTAGAAGAGATTATATCAGAGAAAATTAAAGAGAGAAAAGAGAGTTTTTTGAGCACATTGAGAGGGAGATACTGTGAGGGAGTTGAGATCTTTGGTTAGGGTTATATGTGAGAGTTTGTGTGAGTTGTAATCCGTTGTATTTCTCTTCCATATAGTAAAATCTCCTTACCTCTCCCCGTGGACGTAGGCAATTTGTTGAACCACGTAAATTATCTGTGTTTGTGGTTTGATTTGTGTCGTATTTTTGGTGATTGCACTCGTATTTGGTTTAGTTCTCTTTTCTCATCGCTCGCTGACTCGTTTAGTTTGCGAGCACGCTTTTGCACGGCACGCAACAATTGGTATCAGAGCTCCAGATTTAAGATCTAAGGTTTTGGCATTGGTGGGCGATGATTCATTGTGAAAACTTGGTTCTTGAAGTTCTAGGCTTCGGTGAAGATAGCATTGTTGAGTCGCCGTTGGAGATCTCCCTTTCCTCGTGTGGTTAAGAGATCGTGTTGGAATTCTATCTAGGGTTCAGTTGGGTAATTTCTCAATTTCTATCAAAGTTTGAATATTTCTTTGCAATTTGGAGTGGTTTGCAATGGGAGAAGAAGTTAGTAAAAGCAGTAAGACGATGACGAGTACAATTCAGGTTGGATTTCAAAACACTAAGATTAGTATGGTGAAGTATGACGGCAAAATTAATTTTAGTTTATGGATGAGTGACGTACAGGACACTCTTAGTGCTCAAAATTTGGAAGAGACCATCATGGTCCATGAGAGGCCACCGAAATACGATGAGGCGATATGGGACAAGATGAATATGAACGCTTGTGGGATGATCAGGTCTTGTTTGGAACAAGAGATGAAATACGATATGATTGGGGTGACGTCTGCGATGAAGATGTGAGGGATTTTTAACAACAAATACCTTACGAAAAGTGTTGAGAATCGGTTGCACTTGATGCATATATTATTTAGATTTCAGATGTTCAGGGGAACCTCACTAGCAACTCATGTGAACAACTATACAAAGTTGTTGTCGGACTTGGCGAATGTGGATGGGAAGATAACGGACGAGTACAAGATGATTATTTTGTTAGGATCCTTACCCAATGAGGAGTATGATACATTCATGGTCACTTTGTTGAACGGAAGATCTTTCATCACCTATAGTGAAGTGACTAACGCATTGACGAATTACGATTTGAGGAGGAAGGACAAAGAGATTTCCCGAGCTAGCACTTCAGGAGAGGCCTTGTCAACGAGAGGTAGAAGTTCATATCTGAGAGGTGTTAATAGGAAAAAGTCAAGGGGCCACCACCAGTTAGCGAAGAACTAGTGTGCGATCTGCAAGGAATAGGTACATTGGAAGAGAGATTGCTCGAAGCTCAAGGACAAGGAGAATAGCAAGAAGAAGGGCCCGAAGGCCAATGAGGTGAACTCCGCGAGAGGTAATGATTCCGATGATTCGTGTTTTCTCTATTGATTACTCCAGATGTGAACCATGTAGATGCATGTAATTGGATGCTTGATTCTGGTACTACTTATTATGTGACTCCCTGAAGAGATTGGTTTGTATCGTTCGAGAAACTCGATGAGGGCGTGATAGTCATGAGAAATGATCAATCCTGTGACATTTGTGGGATTGATACCGTCAGGATTCGGATGCATGATGGACTAGTTCGTGAATTGAATGAAGTGAGATTTGTTCATCAGTTAAAGAAGAATCTTATTTTAGTTGGAGCTTTAGAGGCGAAGGGATTCAAGGTGATATTTGAGAATGCTGTAGCGAAGGTTACTAAGGGATCTTTGATGGTGATGAAGGGAGTCCGTAGTAGAAATTTGTATTATCTAAAGGGGAGTACCGTGATTAGCCAGGTAGCTTCAGCTATTTTAGAGGCGGACGAGAGCAGATTTTGGCACTATAAGTTGGGGCACACGGGTAAAAAGTCACTGCGAGTATTGTGCAAGCAGGAGCTATTGAAGGGAGCCAAGTATGGAAAAGTTGAATTTTGTGAGCACTGCGTACTTGGTTAGAAGATAAAGGTGAAGTTCGGGATAACTTTTCATAGGACGAGACATCTTGGACTACGTGCACACAGATGTTTAGGGTTCTACCAAAGACGACATCACTTGGTGGTCAACATTCGTTCGTCATATTTATAGATGACTATTCTAGGTGTTGTTGGGTGTACACTATGGTGAAGAAGAGTGAAGTCCTAGATATATTTTGGAGCGGAAGAAGAGATTAGAACTGTAGACTAGGAGAAAGATCAAGACGTTATGATCCGACAATGACGGTGAGTATATTTCTGACCCCTTTCAGCAGCTATGTCAAGACGAGGGCATAGAGAGATACTTCATAGTTAGTCACACACCGCAACCGAATGGGGTGACAGGGAGGTTGAATTGGTCTTTTATAGAGTATTAAGGGGTGTAACCGCCCTCTTAATTCGCTCCTAAGTGGGGCTGAATGAGATGTAACCGCCCCCCTTAAATCACCCCTGAGTGGAGTTGTGATCTCCTCAGATCGTAAAAAATAATTTTGAAACCGTTCAGCTCGTGTTTGAACGAGTCAAACGTAAGAATTGTGTTATGGTATGAATTTTGCGTTCAAACACAGCGTCTGGAAGCTGCGTTTGTGGCATTTGAAGGCTGCGTTGGCAACTTGTTAGAAGTTGTGTTGGCAGCTTAGAAGTTACATCTGGTAGCAATTTGGAAGCTGTGTTTGGCAGCGGATGGAAACTGCATTGCCAGCTTTTGGAGGCTGCGTTTGCGGCCAGGTTTGAGCTGCATCCATGGGCTTGAGCTACGTCAACGATGCCTGATAAGGAGCTACGTCCGCGGTTGAATTGCGCTGCGTTTGTTCTGCGTCAGTGGCTGTGAACGCGGTGCATGGGAGCTGCGTTTGCACTGCGTCAGCGGCTATGAACGCGGTGCGTCTTGATGCTGGTACGTGGGGATGACATCTGCGTCTTGATGCTGAAACGCGGGGAGGACTTTTGCATCTTGATTTGAGGAGACCGTCAATTTATAGTCTCTTTTTATCAGAGCGTTGCAAAGATTATCATTTTGTAAT